TATTAAGTGAAACTTTTTTTTAATTGGAAAATGAAATGAGACCTGATAAAAAAGAACATTTTATAATTTTAGTGGAAAGTGTCTGAATTTTTCTTTTGAAAAGATAATATACTGTTCTAAAACAGTGAATGTTTTATAACCTAAGTTTAAAGCAGCATCCAATTGACTAAGAAATGGTTGATGCTGCTCATTCCAACAAAATCAACCTTAATTCATGTAGAGTGAAAAGAGAAGGAACAAAGAAAAAAGCAAGTTGAAATTTTGATGTTCTTTACTTCTATTTGTGTTGCATGGGCACACCCATCAGTCTTATTAGTCCATCCCAAACTGGCAATATCTGGATCTCGTGTCCACTTGTAAAGCGCTCTTGTACTTCTGCATCCAGTAAGATAACTGATCAGTTAATAATGCCACTGTCTTTTTAGGTCGAATTTCAAGTTTAATTCGCAAATTCTCACAAAGCAGTTTTGTTGAAGATACAATTGAAACACTCAGTGGAACACGTCGCAGCTCAAGGCAAAGTGATCATGACAAGGACAAATGTATCATCCGCAACAATGGGGGTTCCTGGTCTCCAACCAGCAGTCTGCCAGCAACACCCCAACAACGTAGATCAGGTCAGTTAGCAGGTGCACCATTGGCAGACAAGACTGGCCAATTACCCATGAGATTTCACTCACCATAGTTTCTAATTCACAATAACTTCACTTTGTCTATTAATGAATTCTGCACAGATAAATGCACTGAAGTGGCTGTGAAATTATTTAATTTATATGCTTATTTGATGCAAAGTTAAATGTTAATAATAATAATTGATGAAGCTTCTTGTAGAAGTTACACATGATTTGGTTACCTCTTGAATTTATCTCAGAAATTAGGAACACTTCAGATTTGAAATGTCTCTCTTCATGGAGGATGGAATGAACTCAATTTCAAGCCTTTGAGCCGATTTCTTGGTGTTTCCTTCTACTGAAGTATAAAAGGAATAAAGTTGAAATCCCCCTCCTTTCTGTTATTGGCTGGCAATGTAGCCTGACCATGATGGCTTTCTTGTCCAAAAATCCACTTTCTCTATAATACATTTGGTATTTATTTCTTGTAAATAAAATTCTTTACACACACACAAATCTTAAATTTTTCTATATTTATAGAAGTATGTTCAATATTAGAAATAGACTGTTTATAGATATAAACAGTATTGATATAGGAATCAACACTTCATGGGGCTATTAGTTTCACACCTCAATGCAATCTTCAGACTAAGACTTGGTCTGAAGATCACATTGAGGCATAAAACTGACACCATCCAGTGTTGATTCCTATGTCAGCTCTCTCACTCTCAAACACACTATATGAAAAATGTGCTTTAATAATTTACTGCTTCTTAAATTTGAGTATTGAAAAAGATAAAAAATTTTCTATTTTACCATGTTTTCTGCAGGGAGTGGGGGCAGCAATTTCTTAAGTGGGAGTTTTTTATTTGCCTCAATTTGATTCTTTTTTCCTTTCCATCCTTTTCATTGTATTTGCACAATCACTCAACACAAGTAAGGTGTCACTGCTTCAGTAAAATATTTTTCCATGCATTCCCCCACATAAATGTTGAGGTTTTAGAAATTTATTCTTATTTTTAGGATCTTTTTCTGTGATTATTTTCCCTATGCTAAAGCAAAGGTCAAGCTAAATACTTATCTCCAGTTACTGTTATCTTCTTCCAACTTAAAAACACATTCATAGCAGCTGATCTATTATTAGCATAACAATTTGCATGGTTTGTTATAGGTACAATTTCTCAGTTATTTCGAAAGATTTCCCAAACCAGTTCCATTGAAGACAGATCAGCTACAGCCGTGGAGAGTTATGCCATGTCAAGTACAGGGCCAGCTGATAGGGATAGAGACAAGGGTCTTGTCCGGATGTCCACATGCAGCAACCCTTCCTTATCAGTTGCTCATCAACTGTCAGGTCAGTCATAGAACACTGCCTATATACAGGCATCTTGCAATTGCACTGGCCCTTATCTTCCTTTTTAGGAAGCTCTTTCTCTCACTGTTGTTACATCTGCTTTTGAATTAGTTATAGAATATTAGCTACCAGCCTCATGCACTTTAAATCAGAAAAGATACCCTCAAATCTCTGTATGTTTCTTCACTTTGGAGTCTCTACAATGTTCTTAGGTTCTGTTTCTACCCTGGTGTCAATATGTAAGCATTCTATCTTGATTGTTGTCAACTGCATTTGTCTCACAGTTTCAACATTCTCTCTGTTCATTCTAAACAGTGTTTTATAAATCCATCCTTGAAAATAAATCTGAAAGCAACTGAAATCAATCTTGGTTAAAAAGAAGCTCTTATACAAAGTTAACCTGACATTGTGTCATTGAAGAGGCATCAAAATAAATTTGTTTTTCTTATATATATCTTCTAGACACTTGTACAAATGTCATTCACAGAAGCCTAATGGTATGTATACATAACAGATATTGTGTCCATCTCACTGCACTTTGCACAAAATTATATTTATCCAGAAGATAGAGATATTAAAGATTATATATCCACTCATATTTTTTAGACTATTTGAGTTTGAAAGTCTAATGACTTTTTTCTTTTCTTTTTTTAATAAGATAGAATGATGAATAAAAATAGAAATTTGGACTTTCTCCAATAACTCTTTAAGGGACAAAAGGCTAGTCTTGGTCTTTATATTTTCATTCTATAAATATGGACTACTTTTTTAAATAGTGAATAATGTTCTCTGATCTATGTTGGTGCCACATTATTAGAAACTGATTCCCATATTTTAAGCTACTGTTATACGGAATGTTTCTTGTAGAGTTTGCAAAATATTAAATGTTTCAATTTATTTGCTTTACTGGTTAACATCACCCAAAAGACAATAAATTAGGCATCATTTGCTAAAATGATAAACTGAAACTGTTATTTGTGAGTTTTTTTTTTTAAATCAATGTTAAACATCTGTTTAAAGTATCTTTTATGAAGCACTTGTATTAACAGTTTTCTTGACTTTATGAACAAGTATAAGACAATGTATATTAATTTTGTGCCTTCTGTATATTATACCAAATTGGACAGAGAGAGATAGACCACCACCAGCCCAAGGAGAAATTTGAAGTAGTGTGGGTGATGATATCTCTCTCTGCCTTCTCTCACCTCACATCTTCTCCATTTCTGGGAACATAATCAGAGGTAGGGGGTAATTTTAAAAGAAAAAACATGGCACATTAATTTATTTTCTATTGGTATTTTTTTACATTATTTTATCTATGTAGAAATTCTTGGGCATCTGTTCCTAATGTTGTGTCCATATCCTGCAACCGAAGCTTTAACTAAATTATCTCCTTGCCACGGGCTGATTCTCCAGCAAGAAAGAAAACCAATTTACGAAATTTTAATTCAATGCTTTTACTCATTTTTCATTTTTCTTTACATTTTTTTCTTCTCTGCTTGTGCCAATCCACATTTGACCAAAAGGAAACCTTATTCCCATTCAACAGGTTTTCAAGTAATTAATTCACTCAGATTTATAAATCTTACAATTGCTCAACTGGTAAAAGATGTTCTTCAACATTTTGAAAGCATTTCTTCTGTTTAAAATAATAAATCTGATTTTTTGCTTTATAATCATTTTGTTTTTGTTTTTTTTTATTTCAATTTGATTGCTTTCTAACATTAGCTTATTAAAAAAAAAAAAAAGTTAGAGATACTGAGTTTATGCTTCCAAGACTTAATAACACACATCAGTATGGATCACATAAGCCTACAATTTAAAATGACATTTAAAATTAACTTTAACTGTGAATGCCACTTTGAATTTCTTTTATATGTTTCCATATTTTCTGCAACAATGTCAAAAATGTAAAAGAATTTTGACATAGCTTTAACATTTCTTGGGCTATCCTGATGGAAGGCATTTAATTCTGTTTTAAATAATCCAAGTCTATATGAAATGCATTAAAAAGGAAACCCCCTATATTAGCAAGAACTTAAAATTTGTCAGTCAATTTTTCAAATGCATACTTAGCAATGAACAGTTGTTTTTAAGAAAACATTTTTGCAAATGGATCTGTAAATTAGAACAACATTAATTATCAGAGGCCAATATGACCTCTTTCTTAAATTAACATAAGGATTTTATAAATTCTTCTTTATTTCTGTTTTCATACATTGATTGGTAATAGTCATTTCAAACACTAAATTGCCATTCTGTGTATATTTTGAAAATAAAAAAATGAAATATTTAGATTAATAAGTTTTTCTTTTTTTCTCTAATATGTTGAGAGACATCTTTAAGTGTGTCATAAGGCTACAATTGTAGGGCATCCAGTGAAGATTTAACTCCCTACTGTAATAATGGGCTGGAAAATAAGCTTATTAACCATTACTTCATTGCACTGTGACAATGATGCGTAACATGTCACTTTTTAGGGACTATGTTCAATTTAATTTGGGTTATTTCTTTTTCCCTAAAATGTTTGATTATTCTATTCCAACCTTCAACTGGAATATTATCTAGTGTCAAGTTTATGGTTAGTGGTGGAATGCCACAGACAAAGCTTGTGTAATTGTTAATAATTCCTCATCTCAGACAAAGCATTCTGAAATAAATGAATTTCTCATTAATTTTTTTTAAATCAAATTAAAATGGTATAGCTAAATTCTTTTAAAGTTACCAACATGCATTTATCACAGGGTATCTATTCCACATTGAAATAAAAACTGACAAGTCTCTTTCTACTTTTTATTCTATTGAAATTGAGCATGATTCCAATTACAAAATGATAATAGTAGGATTGCTTCTTTGGTATTTGTGAAAACCTATGCTCTTCCCAGGAGATGAAGACACTATTTCTCTGATTAAACTCAATTATTTTAATAAAACTTTTCTCTTTGAATGTTACGAAAGTCTGAGATGACTGATCATTTTTGTTTTCTTTTTTTTTTTGGAATCCTTCTGAATTGGCTTCTGCTCTTGTCTTATAGGAAGCAGCTCTGGAAGTGTTGTGGAAGAAGATGATCCGGTCTTGGCTGAATTGGGCAAACCTCGTCGTGGTGAAAACATCAAGATCACAGTCCACATTATTGAGAGTACAGAATTCAAGGTGAGTATTCATTCTCAATCAATATTTGTAAACTTCATCATTTTATTAACCTTAATATCAAGAATGTTATAAAAACTAAATGAAAAGTTTTTTTTCTCTCTGCTTAATGCCCCAAATTTTTACTAGTAAAGAAACCATTCAATTTGTAGTTATTATTTACGTGTGTTTGTATTCAAGTTTTTCTTACTGATTTTTACTAATGTTAATTAGATTAAGCACAAAAAATTTACAGCCACAACTTTTAAGCAGATGAAATAAGCAACAGATATTTCATATTTATTTTTATACTTTTTGGTTCATAGTGATGTGCAAGACAGTTTTTCTTGTCAGAATCTATTTTACATCTTTATAAGTATACTATATATATATATATATATATATATATATATATATATATCAAGAATTCAATGAAACAAAATTTTTTTAAATTCAACTAATAATGCCTGTCTCTACTAATTTTTTCAATAAGAAATGTTGCCCATCTAAGGTCAAATTTGTGGATAACCTGTCCAAAATTTGTTTTTATTTTAATACTTTTAACTGTCTTGATCATTATCAGGATTTTAATGGTGTCAGGCTCATAGAAAAACATGTAGTTAGAACAATTTAACCAGTTTTGATCCAGAGGTGCAAAAACTTATTGCAAAAATGCAATAAAAAATAATTAAGCAGACAAATCTTGTCAGTTTAATTTTGTAAGACTTGTCTTCCTATATTAATTAATGATAAATCTGATAGATTTGATATGGTCAAATTTGCAACCTGATCTTATGAAAGACCTTCTATCTGCTAACTGGAGCAAGAAATAGCTTGTTAATTTTAATGCCTCTAAAACAAAATTGTTCTTTTAATAGTCTTTCTTGCCTTCCATTAACATGGCTGATTCTAACCTTCTCAGTCTAATGTTTTCCATCGGCATGTAATGGAATAATCATATCAAAACAATTACTAGGTTTGCTGTTAGAATAATTGGTTCACAGTGTTGCGCTAGATTTTTTTTTTTCTTAATGGAATTTTATATCATTATAAGTTTACTATTCGTCCATGCATTAAATATTGCATCTGTTCTGGTGCTTCTGCTTATGTACCTAGAGATTCTTGACAAAATACTGATTGCTGGACTATTTGGTTTAAAATAGAAAACATTGTCATGAAAAAATTTGTGAGTAAAATTGAGTCAGTCTCTTATAAATTACTTGTTACTGTGTTGGTTTTAACTTAAAATTAAAAGGTGGTCTTCAGCTTTTGTTAATGACTATATAATAACTTCTACAATTTTGATTCTTTCTTTGTAGTGAGTTCTGCATAATATTTTGGTGTTATCTATTAAAATTTGTCTTATGTTAATGGTATTTTGCTTTTGTGGTATGCTGATCTATATGTGCATAAATTGCAATAAATTTTGATAAGTGACAAGTCAAGCTACAAGAGAATGAAGTGCATGTGTGGCCAATGTAAAAATTTAATGTTTGTTGTTTATTATCATTATTGGAGATACAATCTCCCAAAGGACCTAAGAATTCCTAAACAACATTATTTGTACAGAAGCTGAATTTTTGAGGTACTGAATAATTAGTAATAATTAGATTTGACACTTGTAATTTTTTATAGTAAATGATAAATCTAAAGTAAATATGTTAGGAACATTAACTGTTATATAGAAGTGAATTACATATATTAAAATAATAAGAAAGAACATTAAGATATTAATCCAGTGTTCTTATCAGTTATTTTTATTTTAAAATATACATTGCCCAATACAAAACAGTAGAGCAAAATATTATAATATTTATAATATAGAAGTGAATTATATTTTAAATGACTTTCTCTTGTTCATAATTCAGATGTATCTTGTTAAAATTAAATAATTTACAATTGTTCATATCAAGAGGATTAGTTACATTTTTTCTACATTTCTTTAAAACCAATTTCTTCATCTACAACATAGTTTGGGAAATTGTTGTTGAGAAGTGTTTGTTTTATTTTGCTTAATTATTTTTTCAAATAATCTATCTGAAGTAGAAATGAAGAAATTTTTGTATGGCTAATCATGTTTTTTGTAATACTTATTTTATATCTGTGAGCACACATGCTTTTATAATTAAGAAGTCAGGTTTTTGTTCTTGGCTTTTTCATATAGTGAAGTAATAAAATCATCATTGTTAGCATTATAGGAGAATCAGACAGCCTCAATTCAATCACTACTATTTTTACTTTCAACAAATGTGCCAAGAAACAAACAAGAGAAATAATACAAAAAAATCAGTTTTTGAATAACAAACAATATTTTGATTTAAATAGCATAAAATATACAATTCATTATGCTGAAATAAGTAAAGATTTGCGAGTGAAATCATTGTGATGTTTGTTATTTTATGTGTGTAAACTCTTATTTTGGTGTTTGGAGATGTGGTCTGTGAGTTTACTTGAAGTAATATTTGTTGTAATTGTTGTGATGTAAGTTTCACAGAGTCAGTGAAAGAATAATTCTGTTTATGAGGTAATTAAACAGTGTTTGTGAAATATAAGTTTCCAGTGTAAATTGGGGAAAAACTTAATTGTTCTAGAGTTGTCTTTCTTTGACCTTAATGTTGTCAAGAAGTAAATGAATTCTGGATGAAATAATGTTCTATAATTGAGAACTTCTGTGTGTAAATGAAATCCAGTGTGATGTGATTGAGTGAATTCTGAAAGTTTGTTTTATGTTATCAAAGTAACTTTAAAACTTCAGATAGTTGAACGACAAAGATTGATTTGGCAACTTCATTCTCACTGACGAAGTTGATTAATTAGATGTTAATTACTTGCAGGAATGAATGAAAACTAGTGTGTGAATGACTTGAGTGAGTGAATGTTCTGGAAGTCTGAGATTATGTTAGTGAGTAACTTTTAGCCTCAGAATGTGTAACGTAGTTTTTAGTAGGTGATTGTATTACTGTCATGATGCTCGCTAGTGAGATGTGCTAGTGTATCCTTAAATAGGATACACTAGCACTTGTTAATCACGTGATATGCTCAAGAACACGTTTTCAGTATTTTGACAGTTCTCTGGTTCGAACACCTGTGTGTAGGTGTAAATATGACCTTGGTATTAATAGACCAATCAGAATATGTCAGTTGCTGAAACTTGGTTTGGAGCCTAAATGTGTTTAGCTTGCACAAGATTTAGAACTTTGTACGTGAAAATACACAAAATACAATTTTCTTGTCCAATCAGGATGTTGTTAAATGATAGCATTAAGAAAAGTTAGGTGTGATCTACTGAAATGTAGAAGTTATATTCTACAGCATCTTCTAGAATGTCAAAGAAAGTGAATTGTGGAATGGAGGTATTCTCAAAGGTTTCTTAAAGGTTTTTTATTTTGTCTGTTTTTCGTTAATAGGAAAATATCAACATTTTGGGCATATGTGAAGGGTTTGGCAAAATTATTAAAGACCTTATTTGGGTCATATAGAAATTATATAAAGTGGGATCAAGAGGCTAGCCCATAGCTACATTGTCAGTTTGTGTATCAATGTCACCATAATGATCACAAAATGGTTCTTTATGTTATGCAAGATTTATGTAAAATTGTTGGTTTAATATTAAGATTGGGGGGCAGTGTAGAATGATTACTTAGGTTTTTTAATAGTGTCTATGGTTTCTATGACTGGGACACTGGAAAACACTTTCAATGTTTAATGAGTCTATAATGCCAGTGTTAGATTCATTAGAATGCAATAAATCAAGGAATTTGTAAATGGAACAATGCTATATTTATTTGTTAAGTATGGCTAGATCAGTTTACCTAGAGTTTTAGATAAGTTATATACAGGAGTCAGACTTTGAGAAATTATAGGACACAGCAGGAAGTTAGATTTATGCATTTTAACACTTCTCTATAAATAGCGAGGATGATACACACCTATAATTTTGTTAGGCTTCTGCGTTATTAGTTGTAATAAATCTGCTTATTTGTGTTTGAAGAAATATGAATATATAAGAAACAAAGTATTATTACTCTTAATACAAGATTCACATACAGCAGTTTCTTTGTTTCTGTGGTTTAGATTATGTACTGACCACTGTATCTCTAAGTACCTTCATTACCAAAAATCCAGGTATAAAATTAAAATCTTATGATAAAACAGCAAAGATAACAAATCTGGTCTCATTGAAATATTGTATAAGAGTAACAATGCCTTGTCTGAGAAAGTTGATTTTCTACTTAAGATGGAAAGATCAGACACTAATTGCATCCTGCTTAAGTATAAAAACTAATAAATACCAGAAATGAAAGAACAATAACAGACAGAGTAGAACAGGATTAGAGGTGGGACAAGAGGAAGACCAGAAAGAAGCATCAATAGAAATCTGGCAATTTAAAGGCAGAATTAAGCAAACTGGTGTTTTTTGTTTATCAATTTCACCTCAAGCAAGGCAGTAAAACCACTAAGACACAAGGGGTTACTGGGTGTGGAAGAATTAAAAAAACAGAAATTTTACTAATGAACAAGAAAAAAAGAAGAGTAATCAGGATGGCAGTAGAAAGCCATTGACATTGCATTTAAATTTTTGAAGATTAAAGTTGACTAGAAAGCATGGAGCTGGAAGTGAGTTCCACAAGCAAGAAGTGTGAGAAAATAAACTGTTAGCATAGAAATGGTTACATCTAGCCACCTCAACTGTAAGTTGATGAGATTTTGTCGCCAGTCTAGTACTGCACTTAAATTGAAAAGGTCAAGGTACTATGGCAAAGAGCTAATCCAAACAGTTGCCATGAAAGTATTTATAGAAAAGGCACAGGGAGGCAACTTTACAAGGGTAGGAAAATGACTTAAGCTGAGACACCAAATCAGGATCAATAATATTTCTGATTCTTCTTTGAATTTTATCAAGGATCTATAGATATATAGTGGGAGCACCAGACCATATGTAACAGCAATGTTCTAAGCATGGGCAAATGGTAAAGATTTGTAAATATGTCAAGAGAGAAAATTATCTAGCATGATACAGTGAACCAACTTTCTTAGCGGCTGACCTAGCAATGGATTCAATATAGTCTTTCCACTTCATATCGGCCTAAAATGTTAGCCCGAAAAGTCGCAACAAGTCACTCTCCTGAAGATTAGCATCAGCCATACTGATGAAAGGCAGAGAAGTGTCTCTCAGTTGATTAATGGGGAGCAGTTTTGTTTTGGAGGCATTAAAATTAATAAGCAACCCTTTGCCCCAGTTAACAACAAACGAAAAGGTTGTTTATGACATCAGCCACCAATTTGATTTTATCAGATTTTTCAGACTTAGTATCGAGATAAGAGTAAATGATTGTGTTGTCAGCGTAGATACCAATTTGAGAGCTGATGTAATCAGGAAGGTCATTAATGAAAATTAAAAATGGATTAGGACTGAGGATGGAGCCCTGGAGGACACTTGCATTAGTGCAAAGAAGAGTGGCCATTCAGGATAACTTTCATTTTATGATTTGATAAGAAAGACCAAATCAGATCAAAATTTTGTCCAGAAACACCTGCATACAAAACCTTGTCATTCGCTTTCAAGATGTCCAAAGCAACATCCCAAGCTTCACCATTGTTATCCAGAGCTTGATAAACTCTTTCTGCAATGATCAGCATTACATCAGCAGTTGACCTAGAGAAATGAAAGCCATATTGCTTGTCTGAAAGAAGGTCCTACATTGTGCGATGCTTAACCAATTCAGCATTGATTTAGGGCCTTTAGTAGTTTACCCAAAAGTGGTAGAAGGCTTATAGGCTGATAGTTGGAATGACTGGATGGTTCACTTGTTCTTAAAAACTGGAACAACAGATAAGGACATCCAGCATGCAGGAAAGTAAGAGGAAGTGTGGCATTTATTATACAGTTTGTAGAGAATTGGAGCCAGTTCAGGGGCACACTTCTTAAGGACTATTACAGGTTTACATGCTTTTCCACATGCTTTTTAGGGATCCAGATTATAGATGATAGCAGAAACAATAGGAGTTATATGCATATCACTCAACAGAGACTGTGGAAAGTTAGGCAGGAATACTCCAGATGAGTCAAGAGTAGAGTTAAAGGAAAATTTACAAGCAAAACAGTCAGCTTTATCAGCAGAAGATGTTAACAGCTTAAATTGATTGAAGAGAGCAGGAATAGAAAACTTAGCCTTATTTAGTACATTATTACAGAGCAGCCAGTAATCATAAGAGCTAAAGTTGTTGGATGCAATACAGTGTTTCATTCTCTCAGCAAACAGACACTTAGCACCTTCAAGGACACATTTACATTTATGTGCTGCCACGAATATAAGTGTCTGATATAATGGAAACTGTCTCACTGTTATAGCAGGAAATAGTGGTTTCTGTGGGCTATAGCAGCAGAACATGATTGAATAAATGTATGATTTTAATGTTTCTTTTCATTTGTATGTGATTGTACAGTGTGCAATAGGTAAATTGCCACTATTTTATATTTTTAGTTTTACACATGCATGTTTGTTTTTGATTTTGTCCACTGTACAGTATAGTAGGGTCAGTTGGACACCATGTGTGAGAAAAAGAACACCATGACACAATTCACTCTGCCAGAAATTTGGAAACCACATTCTGTACTGCCAATACAAACATTTCAGTGTGTTTGGGTGTCAATCTCAGAACAGTGCAGAGGATTCAGAAATAGTTGGATGATATATCCAGTCAACAGTCTACTTGCAATTACGAAGGTGTTTGGAGTGATTACTTGTGATGGTGATGTTATGGCACCATTCATCTTCCCACAGGGTCTCAGACTCAACACAGAGACCTACATCAAGTGCCTTGAGGAGGTAGTGCTGCCCTGGGTCAAGAGGTGGCTGCTGAAAGATCCTATGTCTGGCAACAGGACTTTGCACCATGCCACACAAGCAGGAGAACACAGTCATGGCTGTTAGACAATTTTTTTCAACCACATCACCACTTACATCTGGCCACCTAACTCCCCTAACTGCAACCCCCTTAGTTATTATGTGTGGGGTGCAGTTGCATGAAAGACCAACAAAACTCCCTGTAACACCAAAGATGAGCTGAAGGCAAGGATTATGGCAGCATTCACCAACTTAACCAAGGAGACCATCCAAAAGAGTTGTAAGAAATTCCAAAGTTGTCTGGATGCCGTGGTTGAAACCAATGGCGATTTTATTGAATAAATTTACTCTTTAATATTTCAAGATGTTTTTGTGTAATTTTGGTAAATATATCTGTTAAAATGAGATGTCAACGTTATTTTCATTTTTGTGTTATTTAGATGACAATTTATCTATCGCAGCCTGTATAGTCTGACTGAAATGAATTTTTCTACAACAGTGGAATTCCAAGTTCTCCTAAATTACTGGCTCCTTGCATTCAATGAACTTAATTATTTCCATATTACTTGACAATCTGACATTTTTTTTTTGTTCACCAAGTTTCTTTCATTTCCTTTGACTGACACATTTAATTTGAAGGTGAGTATTTCTGCGGGTGGTAGGGTGAATTTATTCTTTTCACCCATCACCAACTGCTGATTCTTTCCATTTTTGTCTTTACTAAATTCTTCTTTCCATATCTGAAATCAATATCAAACAAAATCCTTTTATGCACGTTTGTAGCAGGCTTTCTATTATGCCTATGATGAAAGTGTCTCACCTCTTAATTCTTGCAGCTTTTTTTTTTTTTTCTTTTTTTTTTGCATTGGAGTTTTACCATAGCTGACAGATTTTTTTTTCTTTCCATTCAGAGTGTTGTAGACAAATTGTTGAAGAAGGCTAACTTGTCTTTAGTTGTTGGCACTTCTTCTTGGAGGGAGCAGTTCATTGAAGCCATTACTGTAAATGCAGGTCAGTGTACAAACACATCATTTCTCTCTCTCTCTCAGTAATCGGATAGATTGAATCAAATGATTGTTTTTATAAACTTCTGTTTAGTTTTGATCAAATTTGATGCTTTTAAAAAAGAAGTTTCCATTTTTGGGCAAATTGATTTTAAAATGAAAAAGGTTTGATTTTCAGCCTGGCAGCAGCATATTGAGTTTCCTATTGTATTTGCTAAGCATTTTTCTGCCTTTTTTTTTTTTTTTTTTTTTTCAATCAAGTATAAATACTTTGTATCTTGAATATTCTTATTTTCACAACAGTAGAAACTTTGTTTTGTTTCATTTTTAAATATTTTTTCAAAATTTGAACCCATGAATATTTTTGCAAAGAAATATTTTCAAAATTATGTTAATGAATGAAAAAGAAAGTCCAACTGAGTAGCACTAGTTTTTAACACTTTCCATCTTAATAGTATGTGTATATATATATATATATATATATAAAGCCAGAAGAAAATATTTTAATAAACCTAGTTAATTTTTGTAAATATTGCCAGTTGTTAGTTACATAATATTAATAATGTTGGAACATTTTCCCCTTTGAAAACACATTGCAAAGTGTTGTTTATTGAAGGTCCTATAAACTGATTAGTTTATAGAAGCAAGTTCATTCACTTAGCATTCAAAAACTATGAAAATGTTTATATGAAACAGAAAAAATAACTTGAAAAATAGTTTTTAAAGCATCATTATTTCATCATGTTCTAAAGTGAATTTTTTTTGGATTAATGAGTTTCAACACCCTATGAATTGTGAATAGTAAATAAACTGTTTGCTCTTTGAACCTCTGTCATGTTGTCTGTCTCTGTTTTGTTGACATTTTAGCCATTTTACAAAAAAATCAGGCTAAACAATCACGGTAATTTTATGCTGGCCATTTTTCTTTGTTTTTTACTCTCTTAGAAGAGATTTTGGTTAATTGAAAACTTTTGACAACATCGTCTCTTAAATATCATAAAATAATGTAGCATGCAAAATAAGGAAAAGAAAAAAGATTTGAAGAATCATTTGGATACGCAGTTTTATGATAACATAATAATTTGATAAAAACCCCTTCCACATCAACATAAAAAATGGTTCTGTTCCTACAGGAAACAGGTGTTGTTTGAAAGGTATTTTGCATTACTTTAAAATTTGTTACTTTGTTTTATTTTTAAATATCTTCTTTACCATTCAAAATATAAGTATTGTCATATTGCTAATAAATCCTAATATGTGAGATGGTAAAAAAAAAATACCTTATACAATATCATGTCTTAATCTACTTTTTAAGTGCTTTTATCTGAAAGGTTTGAACAAAATTATGTTCTTTAACTTATGAATTATTGACCTGATCCATCTTAATATGGATACTGGCAAGTTGAAAAGTTTTCAACAAAATGAAATCATTGTGAGTTTCACAAAGTATCACAACCAAATATTTGAATGTGACAGCCTGATGAATTTATGTCCAAGAAGAAATTTACTTATGTACATATTTACAAAGGCTCTTTTCATTCTTGTCTCAAAATATTTCTTGCACAAAAACATTTGACAGGATAAAGCTTTGAACTTGATATTTCCAAATGACAGTCTACAAGCACTAAAATATTTTGTTGCTTATTAACAAAATCAGTTTCTATAGAACTGCATTTGTCACTTTCACAACAAAGAGAAAAAGAACCAATTGAATGAATATCTTTGGGCTCTTTTCACTCCCATTCATAACTTTTCTGTGGATTTACCTGTGAATTTCTTTATAATTTTAAACTGCACAAAAATTCAATAAAAACATTTGTCTCCATCCATTGATGTAATTTTAGAGTTGTGACCAGCAACTCTGGTATAAATGTTATTCCGGTGACTCTGGTATTTTCATCCTGCTGCTGCTGCCACCTTTTACCAAATATTGTGCCTTGCTTTTGTACCCTGGATCATCAGTTTCTTTTTTTTCATCAATGGCATGAAATCACTGTATTCTTCTTCTCTCTTCATATTTTTTGACATTTATTTCTAAATTTATTTTACTTCAGCTGCCTTTTTATATTATCTCCAATCTTACAGCCAATTTTATTTCTTTTTCTTTTCATTTTTGTCCTTTTCTTTCTTTTTTTTTGTTCTTTTGTTTTCAAGTATTATAAAATAGAAAGAAACCTTGTCCATTATTTTGTGTCCATTACAGCCACAATGAAGATTGACCAACAAGATCAGAGTGACTTTTCACTAGTCCCTCTGCATTATACATATTTCATCTCCACATATTTAAAGATTCCCTGCCCCCAGCGCGCCACCCATCACTTAGGGGCTTCATTAACACAAGTATTTCTACACAATTTCTACACTTTTCAGCTGTCATGAATGAACACACTCATCAATATGAAATCTCTGGTCCCTATGTTGTGTGGCACCAACCATTCCAGTTCAAGGTTAACAAGAAAACATACCACTGTGTAACATCACAGTGTTCATTTGATTTACCCATAAGACAAAATGTTGTTAATGATTGTAGCAAAGATGATTTTATTTGGATGCCATGTGATTAGCTCTGCACTAATTGTTCTTTCTTTTGTTTTCTTTCATTTTGTTTTCTTGTTGCTGTTATTGCATCAAAGCTTTTCTTGTCTCTGCCGAGTCCAGCATGTCCTGTGACATATTCTTGTGTCTCTATCTTATCTACATACAATACTGTTTAGATTGACACATTTCACTCTCATCATTCTAAATATTTAATCCTTAAATTTTCCTCATATGATATGTAAATGCACACACATTTCTACATAAAAGTATGTGTTGTGAATGTATGTTCTTTGTTAGTCAAAGAGTCATTACTTAGAAATTATCAGTCAATGGTTTCTAATTGTTTTGACTTTATTTGCTTCACTTTATGATGTCATAGGTGACTTTTTCATTTTTCTTCTCTACTGTCCTCAACGACAGAAGAAGTCCATGACTTAAGATCAATTCTTCTATATTCTCTCAACTCTTTTTGTTTTTAATTCAGAAGAATTGGTAAAATAAATGTCTTCAAAATAGTAGAGAAATTAAAGATATTAATGACTGTGAATGGACTGACAAATGGTTTAAAATAGTTTTACAAGTATTTCTTGATGATTTTCCATTTTATTAAACATATTTTCTTTATTAGCCCTCGCTCTCAAAATATCAAGAAATAAAATTTCATTGTCTATCTTCATTTATTTTTGAATATATATTAGTTATTAAATAATTGGAGCCAACAATTTACATGTGTAAAAGTTTAAATTCTTTTATTTATATAGAATAATTTAATAATTATTTTGATTTAAAGCTTCTTGTGGCTGGACTGAATTAATTTTAGGCTACCTTTCTCCAATTAGAATGCCCTTTTTTTTTCTTTCTTTCTTTCTTCCATTGATATATTTTGTTTTGTTTTCTCTCCCAAACTAACAAAACTTCCATCATGTCTGTATTGTGCTGAATTTGTTGCTTTCCAAAGTGATGTTGCTGTTGTTTGTATTTGGCAATAATGTAAATTCTTTCTCTCTCTCTCTCCATTTTTGTACATGTTGCTTCTTGCTGGAGTCTTTGGAAGATAGTGTAACTGCAACCTGAAAAAAAACTAAGATTTCTTTTTTGTTTTTTCAGAAGGTAAGGAAATCAAAATTTTCTCTAGAATCCCTTTTCCTAGTAAACTGGCTTCACCCTCCTCTTTTCTTTCTCACTCCTAATCCATTTTCTCTTTCATTCCATACTGACCGTTTCTCCATTTACACTTATTGCTTGTACTATGGTGAAGGGAACTTGCAATCAACCAAGTGAACTCCTTTTCACTTACTTCCAAAGTGGCAAGAAGAAGAAGAAAAAAAAACTTCCCTCTTGATTCCAATCTCTCTCAATGTTTCTGATGATCTGCAACAAAAGAGATTCTGATGTCTTGGTGCTTCTTTCACTCATTTTTTGTGTTCAAAAAAGTTTTATTATTTCCAAAATGTTTTATAATTTAAAAAAAGCAATGCAAATCAAAAGTAAAAATGACATTTAATATGTTTGCTGCAGCTGTTTACAAAAACTATGGCTTGCTTTGTGACATGTCCAAGTACAAATATCAGTAGTCTTACATCATGTGAGACCATAAAATGTTTCAATTTATTTCTTTTCACAGTTTTACTGTAGAAAAAATTATAAAATTGTTCTTTTCATAATAATGTAGTAAGATTTCCAAAATTACTTTTTTCTTTTAGTCTTTCTTTCAAATAAAATAGATATTTTTATGTCCTATGAAAATGATTAAATCAGGTTTCAAACTTTATTTTCTGATCTGAATTTTTTTTCTCTTACCAGTTTGCTTTATCAAAAAAGAAAATCTGTTTGCTTCTATATTTGGTTATAACTTGTTTACAATGCTTAGTCTGACACAAGGCCAGTACTTGGCTACAGCTCTCTTCATTCTCTTTCACATACACACATTTTCTTTTTTGCTTGCTTAGATTTTCTTTTCTTATCTGATATAAAATGTTTGAAAAGCAGCTTTTTTTTTTTCCTAAAATTTGATTTTCTGTTTCTAATCACAGAATATCTTAAATAAAATGTTTACATTATTTGCATTCAAACTAATATCATAATTCCAGAAATTATCTTTTTATTTACTAGAAGACAGGATAAAAGTTTATTTGGTTTAAGAAGTTAATGAGCTTGTATATTAGTTTACATTTCTTGAGATATATTAATAAAATGGGATGAACAAGTTCATAAAACAATTTTTCTGAACCTTATCTTTTGTTTTTAATCTGGAAAAGCTTAAAAGCTTTTTATATATATATATATATATATATATATATATATAATAACACTGATATCTCATTTTAACAGATATTTTTGTGTAAGTTTAGTAATTATATATCTTAAAATACTAAAGAGTAAATTTATTCAATGAATCACCGTTGGCTTCAACCATGGCCTCCATCCAGATGATTTTGGAATCCCCTGCAACTTTTCTGGGTGGTCTCCTTGTTTAAGTTACCTTCAGTTCATCTTTGGTGTTACAAGAAGTTTTGTTGATCTCTCACGCAACTGCACCCCACCCATAATAATCAAAGGTGCTGCAGTCTGGGGAGTTAAGTGGCCAGATGTAAGGGGTGATGTTTGGTTGCTGAAATTGTCTGATTGTTCTCCTGCTTGTGTGGCATGGTACAATCAGGCATAGAGTCTTCCAGCAATCACCCTCTTAACCCAGAGTTCATTGTGTTATGGTGCTCTTTTTCTCACTGACAGTGCCTAACTAACCTTACTATACTGTGCAGTGGACAAAATCGAAAACAAACAATGCACATGCGCAAAATTAAAAATATAAAATAGCAAACAATTTACCCATAACGCAATGTGTAGGTATATATATATATATATATATATATATATATATATATATATATATATATATATATATAGGAGACTCAGTACAGCTTCTGCATTGGGATCCCCACAGTTACAAAAGTCAAGGGGTTTTGTGCTTTTCCAGTTAATGCATAGCTGTTTGTACTTTTCTGCTTTACTAGATACTCTCTCTGTTTTCTGCAGACTCACTATAAAATACATATGTCAAATTATATATAAATTTTAAACAAAGAATTTTGTAAAAAAAATCATAAAATAGAAAGCTACTTTTCAGACATCATATAAAATCAATTTTTAGCTGATCTTTTAATAGTTTTCATTTTTTTAGGACAATTGGTTAAAAAATGTTGTGTTGAAATGGTTGTTCCTGACATCATCTACTATACAATCATTGCTTCTTGGTTCTTCTCTCTGCTTTTTCAATTATTATTCATATTTCCTATCTAGATAAAACGGAGGGTGATCGTCTTAACTGCTTGTTTTTTGTATTTATTGTCATTATTATTTCTGTTGATGAAATATTTCTTTGGTAGTTGCTGTAGCTTATATTTTTATTAGTAGATGACTAGTTAATGCATGCTTCATTATGAAATGATTTGCAAATTAACAGTAAAATCTGTAAAAAAATAATTGTCACAAATATGTCTATTCTTTTGGCTTTCTCTATCAAAAATGATTTCTCTTATTTTTATCTATAACTGCAATTCAGGTAAGTACTTTTTGCTTAGATTTAAAATCTTGCATCATCATGGTAGTGCATTTTTATAAAAACTTAAAGTCAGAATGGGAGTAAAAGTTTATAAAATGATTTTGTTTCCAAAAAAGGAAAAGTGAATGTTAAGAAGTCAGTATTTTTGAGAAAATCTCTTTGGATTGGTCCAATTGTTTTTACATTGATTTTTCCATAATGAATTTAACCTCATTTGAAATCTGATTAGCTGGTAGCTTCAGTTGGAAATTAGGAATTTTTCTCATGCATTGTCAGAACAAACTTCCCTTCAAAAAAGTTAGGCAGGTATTACTTATTTGAGAAGAACATTAATCTTCCTTACATGCACCCACACCACAATTAGCAAGGGTAAATCTTTTTCATCTTTGGAAGAACAATTGATTTTATGTCAATTTTTAAATATTATGACTAGATACACTTTCAAAGCATTTCATACATTTCTTGATTAATCAGAAATAACTGACAAGATATCTTCTGAGAAATTCCTTTATCCTGCAAAAAAATGTTTCTAAAATCCCAATCTTAAAGGATTAAAGCTTTAATAAAAATTATACTTGGATGTAAAAATGACTCAAATCAAATAATTTCAAATCAACTTGTAAGAAACTCTTTTTTTAATGGAGGAGTGTGGGTGGAGGAATGAAGAAAAGGTTTTTTTTTTTTTTTTTTTTAGATTTTTCTTCAAGTAAAGAACTTAAAACTGAAGTAGCATTTACTAAAAGAAAAATGTCTAAGGCACTGAAAAAAAAAAGAAGATAATCCTGCTATCTTCTTGACATGCATTCAATCTATGAGGGGAGGATGCTCTGAAAGTAAATGCTATCCATTTAATTTTCACAGAAACTACAATAGAGGCAGGCACTTGGATAGAGCAAGTTTTCATTATTTTTGCTCAAAGCTATCACAATTTGCTATGCATTCTCACCAGAAATGAGGAGCTCTCCATTTCTTAGATTGTCGGCTATTCAGAACGACCTGAATCATGAATTGTCATTCTCTCTCACCTCCATCCACCAGCATATGCACACATCTACTGATTGGCCTCTGTAAACATTCAGCAAGTGTTGTTAAATTGCAATGGGAGTGATTTTTTTTTTTCTGCTAAGAGGAATTCAGTGACATACCTCTGCTTTATACACACTTTCATGTCAGATTCCATTTTGCCTGACAGAAAGATTTAACCTCGACTAGTATACTATTAACATGTCTTTGATGTTTGTGAACCAACATAGTAGGTTTCAGTAAATAGAGGCAAAATTTTTGCTCTTCTCTGTAAACCATAATTTTTTGCTGCTTTCTTATATGGCTACCAACAATTAAGACATTAATTCATTCATTAATGTTTAATAGCTTAATTCAATTATTTCTGTGCATTCCCATGTCACTCTTCTCAAAACAAAAAGTAATTTCCTTGTCACCATATTCTGTTGTTAGACAAGTGCAAGCATCTTCTTTCCTTGCACGTTCTTTGGATCCCAAACCAATTCCATGTGTTTTAAACTAACCAAACTACATTCTTAGGGGCCCTTTTTACCACCTGAAGGATGGCACTCTCAAGGAACAATCTATATGTTACCAGGAAGTGCCAACTTTCTTTTTGTTTCTATAACCAAAACAGCACTGGCATCAAGTTATAAACACTGTTGCATGAATTTTTTTTAACAGCACCAACAAAAAGTCATAATTCTGAGATGACAATAATTCTATCTACCAATATGATTACAACAAATACAGTAACATTAGCTTGAAAGCCAAAACACTTCTCAGAATTCTTGTATTGACTTTTCTACTAACCTTACATTCATCTTGAAGAACAGTACATCAAACCTAATCTTTTCAGTTTTCACATCTAAACAATTATTGGGTAATGCAAAAAGTTTGTTCAGTTTATTCAGCAAAGATAAGACTATTTTTAGTTTCAACATTAACTTTATTGAATTGTATATTTACCATTTGATTCCATTGTTTTTTTTAACATCTTTCAAGCAACTTCATAATTCCTCCTCACATAGTTTTAACCTTTTTCAGCAAAGAATTGCTATGGGTGCATTTTGCAATTTTCCAGAGTTTAAATTTTCACTAACAGAATTCTGTAAAGACCATAATAATTGGTGATCTGAAGGTGCTATACTTGTTGACTTGAGGGGTGGCGTGCAAACTTTTCAACCAAGCTGTAACAACTTTTGTCTCGTTAACAAAGAAAATTGCAGTCTTGTCACACCTTAACTAATCACGAATGTTTTTAATCAACTGCTGCTTTCATCTGGCCAAATTGGGAATGGTAATTTTTTTTTTCAAAACTGTCCTCTATAATCTAAAAAAAGCTCATATTGGAGGTTTTCCTTCCACTCATGCCATAAACATAGTATCAACTCCCTTTGGGTGAAAAGTAGCTTTTGATACACAGTGGAGGTTCATGTTATTTGCCTCATAATCTCTTGTATTCTACATTACTGTGAAGAATTCCCTATTCATTGTGTGTCATTTATTTTTTTTTTTTTAAATATTTAAATAGTCCAGTTGATTTTTTTTTTTTTTTTCCCCTGACTACCTATCCCTCCCCACTCCAGTTAAGGAGGCTACATGTTAAAATGCTAAACTGGTGTAAACAAATTTTAAACTTTGATTTGGATATTTTCAGTATGTTGGCTAATCTCCAATTGTATATTGTTGATTATTTGAGAAAAATATCCAGCATGAATTTTTACAAACCACATGCATTCAATTATTCTATTCACAGTACTTTCTCTACAGTTTACAAAATCATTTTTAGTATCAGTCACATTTTTACCTCATAAACTGGAAATGTTGCTTATTCTTCTTCTACCTTCAATTTTAGCATCAATAAATAATTATACACAGCAATTTTTATCATTTTGTTTTTTATTCATGCAGGTATAACAGCCTTTAGAAAAGATCTTTTTGAATGAAGTTCAAAATCTTCTTAATGAATAACAAAAAGAGAACAAACTTTTGGTGCTTTCCCAATAAGAAATGTTTTTAGTAATATCTATAATTAATCATTATTTTATGGATTTTTATTTTAATTGATTTTAAATGCAAAAATTAATTATTATTTGCAAATGTTTTGTTTGTTTTCTTTTTCCAGCCACCCAAAAAGTTTTTACAGTTTTTTTATTTGCAGTTTTGTTATGACAAACAAGCTGAATATCACCTGAAATCTGATTTACATGGCTCTTTACTCTCTCTCTTAATGTCGATAACTAAGACTTTATTTCCTTTACAAAAAATAGCTTACAGCCTCTTTCTTACTTGTTGTATAAAGTGTCCTAAGGCCTATTGGATATAATTTCTTTTTGAGATATATATATGAATTCAATAAAATAAAAACTAGAGACTCCTTTCTTTCTGGCCACTCTTGATTCAGCCAAGTGAGGACATCACTATAATATTTTTATGATGAAAATACTGAGTTTCTCTTTTAATTAGTAACAGAACAAATTGATATAGCTTCTCTCTCTCATAACATTCAATAAAGACAATATTTGGATAATGTTATAAGTGGTCAGAAACCAACATCTGCTTCTGTTAGACTCTATTCAAGTTTAACTGAAATCATTGAACAGTTGAAGTCCAAAAGGAATAAATTACTTATTGTATCTGTTTTAATGTTACATTCTTATTATTATAAAAATTGTATAATTTTTAATAATTGGTTTATTAAGAGTATTTTCATTTAATCAACAACAGTGAACAGAGAATGTCAAGTATGTAAAGTTTCATTTTCTTTCAAGTAATCATGTTCAAAATATAAAAAGATAAATAAATTATCATGACAAAGATCTGGCTGTGAGGTTTTTCATTTTAATGAAACTGTACTTTTGATGATCTCAATATATTTTTAAATAGTTTAAAGCTTTAGGCTGATATATATATATATATATATATATATATATATATATATATATATACACACACACACAGGGACTAGCTTTTTAGATTTATCTTCCTTCTGCACCTGTTAATAAAACTTGAAGTGGAACAAAATAAATTATACAAAAGAATGTTTCATTCAAAGGTGATTTCTGTTGTGCATTTGATTTTTCTCTTAGTCAATTTTCATAAACTTTTATCTCTAGATTAAGTAAAGTGTGATATTTTCTTTCCAAATGTGTTTGTTACCATTCTGCAAATAGTTTATTTTTTCTGATGAAACCACTTGATTTTGCTCTTAACAACAAATGCATCTTTTCCTAATGGAAAATTGTCAGTTGTGAGGATTGTAACTATTTCTTCTCCATTTGCAGTTATGAAGAAATGTCTTCTCATTCCTTTTAAGTCAACAAAATGATTTAACAAGTTATCATTTTTACTGTATTTTTAGATATATTTATTACTTAAATATTACTTAAATAAAAATTCACTTTGTGTTATTAAAATGAAATGTGAGGTTTACATAATGTGCATCAGTGCTGAAATTGGTATTGGTGAGCAATTCCCTGCCTTAGTCTATTGCATTCACTTTCCCACAGATGACCAAATCCTAGCCACGACTATGAGTTAAATAGCCTTTGGTGGCAGCCAGTCTAGAAGGAGGTTTTTTTCTGAATTCCAAACCGTGGAGAAAGTATCAGGAAATCACTCCATTACCTTTCCCAAAAAGTTATGGCAATTAACCACTCTTAAGCAAAAAAAAAAAGTAATCCGAACAAACATCACGTTTAAAAATTATTAAAATATTTCTGAGTTTTAAAATGTTTTTTGTTTTTTTGTTTTTATTTTTTTTGCTTCGCACGAGATTTTCATGGAGTCTGTTGATTAGATTATATCCATGTTAGCAACTATTTGATAATTAAAAGTCATCAGTTTAGGACGGTTTTTATTAATTTATTCTTAGTTTCTCTAGTTAATGCTAGTTGTGTCCCTTAGATCATTGTCAGAGTTACTTCCCTTAATAAAGGTTTCGCTTGATAATCTTCTATCTATAAAGTGTGTATAATTCTTAAGGTAACATTAATTGAATTATGTCATATTCTTATTTAACATCAGCTCACTTTAAAATAGTTTCTTTTAGTATTGTTTAGACTTTTTTAGCCAATTAAAAAACAGCAGATCAGTGGATAACTCTGACCCAGTTCACAAATACACACAAAAATACTGATAAACAAAATAAAATTCTATTGTCACATTATCTATTAGAATTTTTAGTCATTTATACAATGCTAAATTCTTACAAGATTAATAAATATTTTCTAAAATTCCAGAAATAAAGTTGGAGAATTTGACCTTTCACCACCAAACTAAGACCCCCCACACACACACAAAACTGGTGTGTGTGTGAGGTATTTGAGACAAATTATGGTATAAAGAAAAATAAAGAAAGCAGCATATTTTCATAAAAATGTGTCCACATGTTCAATTTAGAAAAACAAAAATTTTTAATAAAACTACCTTGAATCTCAAAAACAGAAAGAACATTGATACAAATTACCTTGATTGATAATTAAACCTTTTCAAACTTTGCTCTGCTTAAAAAGCTTTTTTATAATTGGTATTAATAATAATTGATAGTAAAGACTTATGAATATATTTAAAAAGTTTGTTTGTTAAATTGATACTTTCTTTGAATTAGTCTCTCCTTCAGTATCTATTCTTTGTCTAACATTTTTGAAGATGTGAGATTATGTTTAAGTGTATATGTACATATATTTATATCTGGATATGTTTTCTTGTTTTTGGTACCTTCCCCCACTCTCACCAGTTTATTTTTGATATTGTTAAATTTATTCACTGTACTGGGGCTTGGCTTCTAAATCTGTTACCGGCTGGCAACAACATCCAATAACTAAGAATAATTTCAATTTGCTTCCTTCTTTTCAGCAAAAGATGAAGGCGGAGGGTCAGAGGAAAAAGCATCAAAAGGTTTTGCTACCATTTCTGAAGGTGCTTTTAGAAGAGGGTCCTACTAATGTGTGACTTTCTACTAGATTTTCTCCACAAGCCTACACACAAACACACACACACACACAATTGGCAACCCTGCTAAAAACTCTTTCTATACAAAACATTTTGCATTATTAAAGCCTCTCCAATTTCTGTCAATAATAATAATAATAATAATAATAGTAGTTCTGTAATCTGATGTCCTTGTATTTCCTTTTCAATATTTTTATTCTGCTAGTAACACAGTCACTCAATCTGCTTAGATGTGCACTAAAGAAGCTTCTGTTTGAATTTTTGGGATGAGGAGTTATCACTATTTACATTATTTACATCCAGATTATTGTTCTCAGCCTAGTAGATTATAATGCTGGTTTGTGAATTTGGTGACATAATAATTGTGAGTTCAATCCTTGGGCCAGGCAGTGTGTACTTGAACTGTGTGGAAACTGCGCAAGCAATAACTGAGCACTACTAAATAAGAACTAGACAGTGGAATGAGAACAGTGGATTGATATACACCTATTGAAGGCCAGAAATGGCTGAAACTAAGAGATAATGGCTGAAATGTGTTAACATCAACAATGATGAAAACAATAGTCTGAATATAAATGATATAAATAAAGAAGCTTCTGGCTTTCTTCGAAATACAAATAAGAATATTTGTGGAGTTGTTTAGCTTCAAGGCTTTTGAGAATTGAGTAACTCTTTCTGCTAATGGCAAAAGTTTCTTGTGGATTCCTAAACAAGCCAAATTACTCCTCAAAATAAAAAAATTAAGAACTAGATGAGCAAATGTTAAAGCAAAATGGTGATGCTCATTTGAAATAAAAATCCTGTGGGAGTGTGTAAAATGTGTCACCCACTTGAAGACAATTTGCTGGCTAATTCTACATCCGCTTTCTCTGCCTCCAAGTAACAATGCAATTCAGTGAAGCCCCCATAGAATTGCTTCCCAAAGGAAACTCAATTTCTCCGTTGCCTTTTTAAAAAAAAAAAAAAAAAGGATTTTGTAAACTTCACTTGAAATATACTATATATAAGCAAGCATATTTTTTTTCTTTTCAGTAATGACAAGAAAAAACTATTAACAAATTATTACTTTTTATTGACTGACCCCTATATATATATATATATATATATATATATATAATTTAATGAGCTAATTACTTCACTTTAATGTAAACATATATGTAAAGAATGCATTATAGAAATATATAGGCAATTTAGTGTGGGGGTTTCCCTAATTAAACAGGAAGGTACAGAATTTTCCAGTTCTGTATTTGAAACCAGCCTTCTTCAATGCACACACTTGTGATCACCCTGAACCATTGCCCTCTGACTACACTTAGAAGCCTTCTTCTGCCAGCCATACACACCCTCTCTTCAAGGGATGAGTGCGTGCTAACCTTTTCTTTTTTCTTTCCTTTTCTTTTTTATTTGGGTGAATAGTGGCTTTATAAAAATTTTATTTTTTTTTATAGGTTTCTTTTATTTACAAAAAGAATCTTGATGATGATGATATGTGCAGTTTTGAATGAAAATGCCCTAGATAGAAGCATCTTCATTCTAATTAGACTCTTCTGACTGATGCAATCAAAGATTGTATTTAATTCAGTCTTTGATTTTTCTCTTTCTATCTGAACTTGTATTTCTTTTCATTCTTTTTGTCGCTGCAATCTTTGGTGCGCATCAAGTTGCTACAGCGCGGCATACAGAGTGTGGCTCACTTGAAAATGCAATTCCAATTTTTATTATCATATACTTTTTTTTTTTTTTTTTTTTTTTTTTTGCCAGATTGCAGAGAAGGGAATCAGAGTAACAATCTTGATCACCCTTTTCACTTACAAAAATGCATTCTATGTCCCCCACCCACTTTTATTCCTACAAATTAATAATGAATTAATTCCACCACCATGCCTCCCACCACACATTTTCTTTTGTGTTCCTTATTTTTAAAGCCCTCCCCACTTCTATTTTGCATTTTTACTGTTTAAAGATCAAACACATATCTTTCTCATGGTTGGATTCTTCCTATCACCTTAACTCTATCAATAGACTGCTTGTATTTTCTTTAATTAAACCATTAAGAGATGGTATTCCATCTAACTGCTAACCATTCTAAGCTATCCAGGTAAGTGACCTGCTATTTGTAGCTGCAGATGTACAAAGCAACAACTAACCAGAAATACATGCAGAATTAACATATGCTTCAATACTTTTGCTAGAATCGGTAACATGTTACTGAATACAAATAGATATGCTTTTCTCAAGTGCTTCTATATTAAAACAAAAAAACTTGATTAAATTCTATTTTATTGAATATTAATAAAATTATTGTTTATGTTTACTGCTTTGCTTTAAAAAAACATATTGGCTATTATTGCAAAGTAATAAACTTTTAGAAGACTAAAAGTTGATTCAAAGTATAACTTTTCTGTTTCTTTTATAACTTATGCTCAAAACAGAAGTTTTTTTGTATTTTTAAAGTACATTGTAAAAATAATAATAATAGAAATAACTAATAATGAAAAGTGAAAGTTGTAAAATAAAAAAGTAAAACAAGAATGTTTATCAAATTTTATTGCTAGATTCTGTTGAACAATTATTGTGTATTTCTTATAAAAATAATGTTAGTAACCTTGAAAAACAATCAAGTTCTATATGTATTTTAGTCTAATGAGATGTGATTAGAAATGAATAGTTATGGGTAATGGGGAAGTGGTGATCATTAGCATCACTTGATGCTGATGACTTTGAACTCTCATTTTTTATGTAGCCCCAAAACCCAACAATTTTAAGAAACATTGTTTCTATCTTCTCTTTCAATTTCTTGCTGCAATAATTTTTTCCTGTCAATGTGCTTGGTTTTCTTTATGATTCTAGAAAAGGATAAAAATTTCTGCATCAAATTGTTTAGATTTAGAGTTCATGATTTGTTGTTGTCTTTTACTTTTTAACCTGTCTTGGAAAATACTCTCTTCATTATAATGTTATTGTGTTATGAACAGCGTTTTTATTTCTTATTTATCTCTGTTGTTTTCTCAGGGGACGATGATCAGGAAGAAGGTGAGGAAGAGAAGTTGCCCTCTTGCATGGATTACATCATGCACTTTGTCTGTCTTTTCTGGAAGGTCCTCTTTGCTTTTGTTCCACCAACAGGTAAGAGTTCAAAAGATTTCAGTTCTGCCTACAAGACATATAGTGGAATTAGATCTCTCTCTCTCACCTCACTTCCAAATGCCTTAGACAATACAGCTTTTTCAAAAACCTTTCATGTGACTTGCTGCCATCCTTTCACAAATGCTAATTGTAATCCCAGTAATGTTATGAACAGCAGCATATAAGGCACTTTCAGAAAACTTTTTTTACTCAAATGAAGGATGGGGAGGGGGGGTCAATTACATTTTTATCATAATTTTTATAAAATGACACAAAGGTAATTTTCTTTTTATGAAGCAAATATTGTCTTTTGTCACATTATCTAAAGGCATTGGCCTCCAATCAAGAAAGTATCATATGTTTACTGGTATTTTAAAAAGGAAATCTTAAAACATTTTAAATGACAAGAAAAATCAACTGACTCACACAGAAATATTTGAAAAACTTGGTGTAGCATATGTAAACAGAAAAGAAGCAGAATATTACAAACATTTGCTAAAGATGTGACACTGGTGCTGCTCAATCTATCGGTCAACACACTGAACAACATACAGTGTATGCTATGCAGTTTCATAGTAATTGACCAATAAGAGTAATATTATTGAAACTATAACATTGGTTATTGCACTCCATTTGGGTTAGAGAACATCAAAATTGAACTAAGAAAGACTGGCATCATGTTACATGGTTAACTCCAGTTTCCAGCTCTTTCTGGCAGATAACTTCATGTGTGGAGGTGACCACATGAAGCTATGGATCTAGCCTGTTAGCAGAGTATCATAAAAGCCAGTAATGTTAGTTTGTGCCAGTAATATAATGTACCCACACCCTATCATTGTAGAGTTGACAAAACTCTTAGGAACATTCCTTTATTCCCCATGTTCATCAAATTTAAACCTCATTTGAACACATGTAGGAAACATTGCAAGTCTAAATAAAATTCTCTACACCTATACACAAGAAACACAATTTGGTTATGGATTACCCTGTAATGTAACTGGATAGATATCCCCATGCAATGACTTCAATACTTTCTAGGTTCCATGACTGCCATTATCCAGACAAAGAGACATTTTTAAATGTTTGATTTATTTAGAGAAAAGACTAATTGTAAGGTCTGATTTAAAAAAAAAAAATTATAATTATTTACTTTTCTTTACTTCTTTGCATTTAGGAAATGTTCAAATCTTTGGAAAGAGAAAAATAAATGAACAAGTTTCTTCCAATAATATTTAACAGGCCAAAGATCAATGCACTAAAAGTATGTCTAACCTAAAAATCCTTTTATCATAATAATGTTGATCAAAATAATTAGTGAACCAAATAGTGGGAAGACAATTCTTTTAGTCAACAGTTTTTAAATTTTTTTAAATCTTCAAATTTTGTGAGAAAATATCTTCTATAAAATGAGTTCTGTATGCATGCTGAATTTGTCTGTACATGAGAATATAATTTGAATCTTATGAAACAAAATGCAACTGAAAAAATTGAAACTGTTTTTTCTTTTACCAAAAAATGAATTTCTTAATTTATGCATGTTTTTTTTTTTTCTTTTCAGATTACTGGGGGGGATGGGCTTGCTTTACAGTCAGTATTATTCTTATTGGTGTGCTGACTGCTTTCATTGGTGATTTTGCCAGCCATTTTGGTTGTACGATAGGCCTTAAAGATGCAGTTACTGCTGTCTCATTTGTTGCCCTTGGTACGAGCGTGCCAGGTAAGCCAGTGTTCTCATTTCTCTTTCAATACCTCTATAATCTCATTGTATTTTATTATGGTCTACATTCTTACTGAAAGTAAATAATGTGGGGCCAGTAACATTTTAATGGCTAACATATAAAATTAACATTTTGGTGAGGATTGTGTAAGAAAACATTTTTTTTAAAATTGGGGCTAATTCTATTTTTTATTCTTCTGATGTATATTTTTAGCATTACAAACTTTGATGTTTGTTAGAGTTTAAGAAATTTATTGTGTTGCTTTTGACAAAGTGTACATTTTAATGGATTTCAATAAAATATCAGCATTAGAAATTTAAACCTTTTTATGTACAAGGCAGGGAATAAATTGATGGTTGACGAACATTCAATTCCTTCACAAACATAAACTGCACAATTTTTAATTTTCCTGTTGTTCATTTTTTCTTTCATTTATTTCTCCCTCTCTGTCGTTCTCTTTATCCCCCACCTCTCTGTCGTTCTCTTTATCCCCCGCCTCTCTGTCGTTTCCTTAACTCTCCCCATCAGACTCTCTGTTGTTCTCTTGTCACGCTTCCATTTCTCTTAAAATAGAATAACATTTGGATTTTATTATATTTATATAACGATTTATATTGATTTATTTTCTTCTTTCCAGACACATTTGCCAGCAAAGTTGCTGCCATCAATGACAAATATGCAGATTCTTCCATTGGTAATGTAACCGGCAGCAACGCTGTCAACGTGTTCCTTGGAATTGGTATTGCATGGAGTATTGCTGCCATCTACCATGCAGCAAACGGCACAGTATTTCGCGTCCATCCGGGCACTCTGGCCTTCTCTGTCACAATTTTCTGTGTGTTTGCCTTCTTCACAATTATTTTGTTGGTTAGCCGGCGACACCGTGCAGTTGGTGGTGAGCTGGGTGGCCCTCTAAAGTACAAATATATCACATCAACTCTCTTGGTATCCTTCTGGGTTTGCTACCTCTTGCTGACCAGTCTTATGAGCTACTGCCATATTTCATCATTCTAAAAGTTCCCGCTTGACCCCCCTACCCAACCACTACCACCCATCATTAACATGGTTTGGCTGGAATACAACTGCTATGTTTGACAGGCCCACTGCCTACCGGTCAGTCTGCCTACCTACTTGCCTGTCTACACTGGGCAGGGGTCATGTCACACAATTGCACTGTTCTGACTACTGTGGCATAAGCTACAGAGTTATTACTGGCCCTTTTTTTCTAAATAACACAATCTTTGAAACTTTCAAAAAAACAAAAACAAAAACAAAAATTGAAGTTTAATAAAATAAAAGCAATTGATAGAAACTGCCAACCCTAACCCATCCATTTTTTAAAGGTTCTTCAAATAATGTCATTGATCCTTTTTCAAATGAATTATTGAAAAGAAAGAAAAAGATGTTTTGCATGTAACTTTGGACCATTCCTTCAAGAGATTTCTTCTTGACAGGATGTTAAACATTTTTCAAAAAAAAAAAAAAAAAAAAAAAACAAGAAGTGAACATCTTCGACAAGAAATGGACAGACAAAGGGTATCATGTGTCTGTCTGTCCATCTTTGTCTTATTTTTTTCTTTTTTTTCCCAAAAGGTTAACAAGGCTGACCACAAAGTTTTAAAGGAGAACTAGAAGGAAACACAAACCAAGAAGTTGAAGGGGGAAAAAAAGCAAACAGAAAAAGAAAATTGTGAATGAAAAATACTAAAAGGGGGGGGAAAAAAAGAAACAAAGACACTTATTTTTGTTCTTTTCTTTCTTTTTTTTTTTAACTTAAAAAAAAAAAAAAAAACTTTGTTTTCTCTGTTTCTGATAAATAATGGCATAAAATGTGTTGTTGCCAATTCCAGTCTAAGACTGGTCTTATCTGGCTGTTGAGTCTGAGTTTCTGTATCATGTGGCCAGAGGAAATGCTACCCAATTCCTTATTCTTTCTCTCCACCAACCTGTCTTCATCCACCATCATGGATGTCCTGTGAAGATTCACCACCTCCTTTCTTTACCCATCACTGTCTATGTGACATTTACTTGGATGCATAAAATGTGTGTGAATAACCTTATACGTGCATGCACACACACATTTTATATATATATATATATAATATATATATATATATATAATGTAATGCTACTTTCATGGTTCAGAAACAAACTTTGCCCTCTGCTTGTGTTGCAGACAGGAGCAAACGAAAAGGGTAGAAAGTATACCCAACTTTGAAAAAAGAAGGAAAAAATCCCAGTTACTTTTCTCAATACTACTGACAATACTCTGACGCTGAAATTTTGATTTAATCTTTATTAATCAATCTTGTATTTTTATCCAGCAAGTGTTCCTCTTCTGTTTTCTGTTGTTGTTTTGTTTTTTTGTTTTTTTTTTATCCACTCTTAATATAATAAGAATTCTTTCCTTTCTTCCTTGACATCTCCTCCCTACCTAACAACCATATATAACCTGTGTATCTTCCATTATCAAGCATGATGTTCTAACTCATGGGAACAAAATGGTTGGAATTGCAATTTTGAATTCAGTTTTTGGAATGAGGGATTTTTTTTTTCTATAAGAAGAAAAAAAATCTTTTTTGGCCAATTGATAAGACTTGACTGCTCTCCTGGGGCTCAAAATCATAATGCAGAGAGATACAGAATAAGATTGTTGTTAATTTTTTTAGAAGAGTTTTGTTTCCCATCCTATACTTTTTTAGTTTCAGCTGAAACCACTCCATTTAATATTTTCTTAACACTCAACTTTGTCTATTTCAGTCTTTCCCTTTTTTTAATTTCAGAATTAATAATTTCATGTTCATTTTAGCTTTTCTTTTTCTTTTCATTTTTTCTTCTTTCATCTGGTCCTTCTTTTCCTTTTAAGTACCATTTGGTTTTTTTTTTTTTTTTTTTTTACATCAAATGAGGAGAGGGGCATGTTATATTTTGAATCAGTATGCTCATTCACCTGGGGTCCCTTTCTCTGTCACTACTGATGAAAAAAAACCCAACCAACTGAAAATTTCCTTGGAACTCAGGATAGCAACACAAGTTTACCATTTTTCTTCCCATGTTTTCTATATGATGAGAAAAGAACAGCCAAAATAAATCTTGGTGCTTTTGATGTCATAAGATTAACGAAATTCCTCCTCCTGACCTGTTATGATATTAAGTTTCAGACTTCTTGTGGAATTTTTTTGTCTTGGGTTCAAAATAGTGTTCATTCTCAAAAAAAAAGTTGTTTCTCTTTCTTTTAGTTAGATATCTTCCATCTCCCATAGCAACTTTCTGATTTGAGATTCATCATATTATCTAATATTTGCAAATTACGCACTCAGCATAGACTCTGTGTGTGTCTGTGAGAGAGAGGGAGAGAGAGTTAACCCTGACCCCCACCCGCTTTTTATGAACATATAAAAATATAGAGTACACAAGGATTTTTTTCTGAATAACTTTCTTACACCGTGTGTGTGTGTGTGTGTCTTTACAATTTACTTTCTGGATCCCAAACTCAACATCACACACAAATTTCAAAATCTAAATAAACATAAGTATGAAAAAAGATTTTACAATTATAAAAATATTTACACCAGTGAGATGAAGTTGGTATTTAAATTTCATCTTTTGACTTTTGTCTTTCCAGACTAAGAATTACAAAAATCTAAACTAAGATTCTTGTCTTGGTAATTGGTCCCCAGTTGACATCATTTTTTCTTTTTGTTCAGAAGAAAAGATCTCTCTGAAAATGAGTATTGTAAAAAAAAAACACAAAAAAGTACAAATGAATCAGTTTCAGATAACTGTTGCCTTCTGTGAAGCACATCTTCAAAATTTGTTTTCAATTTGACTGAAGTAAACAAAATGCCACATTTTATACTTGAAATCTTGTAACACTTCCAAAACAGTGCCTGCTATATATATATGTGTGTGTGTGTGTATGTGTATATATATATATATATATATATATATAGCAAGCATTTCTAAATGTGCATATGTTATTGTGTATACATGGGAATGTATCTCATACAAGTTTACATACATATTTATCTAAGTATGTTTGCTTAAATGTTCTTTTGTACATAAAATTACTGTTTCCATTGGAGTTCAATATTTCATGTGAACTTAGAATCCTTTTTACAATTTTTTTCAAAAATAATTATAATATAATTTTCTGGGGGTAACAGGCAAGAGAAAGAATTCATCTTGGATATTTGCAGTAATGCATTTAGCTTCAAAATATTTCTTTGTCATAAAAACACATGATTACAAGCTGGCTATATATCACATAATTATTAACTCTCAATACCTATCCTTGCCCAGCAAGAAATGTGGCTATCAGGCATTCATCTTTCATTACTTGTGACTATCAATAGTATTTTGCATTTTCCTTACCTGGAGAACGTTTTCCTTTTAACAGGTGTAAGGAACATATTTTCTGTTTGAATGCCAAGCAACTTGAAACTTCAGCAAATGGGCAGGGGAAATATGAACATTGTCCCCAACCTCTTTGAGAGAATATGGACAGTTCACCACCCTCCCCACTTTAGAGAGAGATTCATATTTCACTATGGCATTACTGCATAGTGAAATTATGAACTTTTCATTTATCAACCACTGAGGGGGGAAAAAATCAGGATTGTGCTGGGAAGCAGTTTTCACACACACACACACACATTCTCTCTCTTTCTCTCTCTCATTATAATTTGAAAGTAATTCTATAATGATCTAGAAACAAATTTGAATTTTTGGTCTGGTTATAATTAATATCAGTAAATAATCATTGGATTCACATCAGAAAGTATTGCCTGTTATGTCACTTGCTGATGGCTAGAGATTTGTAAGTTTACAAATGGAGGACTTGATATGCCGGAAATTTTTTTTCAAAGTTTCATTATTAGTTTCAGTATTCTAGGTAATTAAAACGGTCTTAAAATGATTCTTGTATTCTTGAGCTTACCTCTGAGTGTTTTAGTGATGCAGTCTAAGAACATTTTTAATTGCAACTTCAGACATAGATTTTGATAAGTGAATTTCTTAGCTTAGACTTTTTTTCTTTTTTTGCTTCACATAAGCTTCAGGGATTAATTCCTTTCAACTATCGTCTCTTAGTAGGATTATCTTTCTGCTTCCAAATAACTTTCAAAGTCAAGGCAGATCAATGATTGATTGATTAGTTTTCTGGCATTCTTGTCATTTTTGCACACCATCTGTCATTTTCAGCTACAAATATTGGCACAAAGGTCAAAGAAGTTTTTTTTCCCTAACAAATTCATGATTGTCATTTTTATCAAGGAATACTATATATTCAAGAGAGAAAATTGTTTAATTTTTTTTTTCTTTAACTAAGCCTACAAGTTAAGGTAGGGAGAGGGAGCAAGAATAAAAACAAAAGATGGAGGGAGGACTGAAGCTAAGTAAAAACAATGTTTTGTTTTTTTCCCCTTGTTATTTTGTTAATATTGTTGCTTTTGCCTTTGAGGATCTTATCATCAGTTATGAATTAAGTACTTAGCAATTGCCTTACATTTAAGGATCCTCGTGAAATCAACTTTTTATAGACATCAGTATTTTGCTAACTTTTATTTTCTAAAATATTTGCTCTTCTACTGCAGAAGACGCCAGAATTAATGTTTTTGTTTTTTTTTTATAATAATTGGCCTGTCTTATGCACAGACACATTGTTTGCCTGTTTTTCTCTCTGTGAATGGTACATTATTATCATCATTATTATTATTATTAAAAACAATTTTATTGTTTCTAACTTAAATATATTATTTGTTAAACTGATAATTGTTACAAAATCAAATTTATTGATTTGTGTTTAAAAAAGAAAATGGGTTTACTTCATAGTCTGTGATATTCATTTGATACCAAATCAATGTTTTACACTTGTAGTCTATTTCAAGGTGAAGTGTTTTTTCTTTCCCTCCCTTTTTTTTAAGGAATTTTGTCTAAGTTAATAAAGACATAGCTTCATTTGATCAGCAGGCTCCAATTTCAATTGAGAAACTGGCATATAGATTTTGGAGAAGTCTTTCACACTCTAAATCGTCCATATTCAATATTATTAAGATTTGATATAGGAGAGAGATCCCATTATGTCTGCTACTCTGTGTGGTCTTTGTCACTTTTATGTGGGTTTCCTTTCTACACAGACTTAAGGAATTAAACATTTAATGCTGTAGTTGCTGAAGGATGAAAACAAGAGCAATGCATATGCACACTCAAATGTCTATTGATAATACCTGCACCCCAACACACACACACACACACACACACATATATATATATATATATATATATATATATATATATATATATAAAATATATATATGATGTTCCTAAATAAATCATATGCATATAACATTCATGGATAAATAGTCCTAAATGTGCGACATAAGACATGAGCTCTTTTTGTTTTAGCAAGGAACTGCTTTGCCTGGGCAGCAATAAAGAAACAATGTATTCATTCTCTTCCAATACCCCACCAGTTATCAGTGATGGGTAATTGATAAAGAGAAGATATCCTTTGTCTGGACACAGAACTGGAGAAATAAGGTAATTATATTAAACATCCGGTGAGCATTGATTTTTTTTTTTTTTTTTTTTTTCTTTTAATTTCCAGTCAGTAGTTGATTTGTCCTTTGGCTGCAAGTTGTATCCATTTTCAAAGAAAAACTTTTCAATCTCTCTATTCTGATTATTTCTCTCTCTCTCTCTCTCTCTCTCTCTCTCTCTCATTTACAGAGAATTAAAAAATGTAGTTTCCACTAATAATAGCAGAAAATCATATTCAGGCATGAAACTATATTTTTGTTTTTTTAGAGGGAAGGGTACACATTTTAAACAAAAGTAGTTTCAAACTTGAAATACATAAATCTTCCATAAAGAGTTTGTCTGCAAAGTAACATTTGGAATTATGCATTCCATTAGTTTGGGAAATACACACACACTTTCAATATACTTTTTTCTTACCAATTTATTTACCAAGATCTTTTATTCTTGCTGTAATATTTCATTAGATTTCATGATCTCTTTAAAGAAAAGGAGAAAATGTAACCTTCCAACTTATGAAAAACCATTCTTATTTACTCCAAAACATTTAAGAGCAGGAGTTTTACAAGTATACTCAAAATGCTTGTACTGCACTTGAAATCATTATTTGGGTTTTAAGGTTTTATAAAATATAGATTTCCATTTTTTGGGGTTTTTTTTTGTTTTGAGAATTTGTGCAAACAGAATGGAAGCAATTTTAAGACAATAAAAAAACTTTCCAATTCAATAGACAAGAAATAGCAAAAGGATTTGCAAATCTGTATAGTTTCCTCTAAACCTGAAAATACTATCAGAAATAATGAAACAGTTTATTAAAATCTCCCACAAATGTCCGTTTATTATTACTGCTGTTGTTAGTGTATGGGATTTCAACATTTCTTTTTCTTGACTTTGTAATGGTGTCCAACTTGAGTTGTTTATCTCAAGGCTATTCCTAAAAGTGTTTCTTTATGAAATACAATCAATGCATTACTTGCAATTTAACCACTTTGTTAACTTACTGAGAGAAAGAAAAACCAGCCAAGTTTGTACTTAAAAATATTCGCCTGTTTGATTATTCCATAATAAATGTAGTGTGGAAAATCTCTAAAAAAGGAAATTAAATATTTTAGAATTTCCTTTTCCATCAATTACAGTTAAGGAGAAGACATACGCACACACACACACACACACACACACACACATTGTGCTTTTTGTGTAAAAAGGAAAATAAACAACTTTCATTTTTTACAGTTTTTTTTTTTTTTCCATACAAGATCTCTTTTGAACTTCATTGATAAGTTTTTGCTTATATAAGCAAATATTAAGCAAAATGACTGAGTTTGGCTCTAGTACAAAGAAATTATATCAAGCTTAAATCCCATTACCCATTAGAATCTATGGACTTGTAAAATCTATCCTTCTCAGTGAACTGAACATCTCGCCTTGTTTGTCTGTTTTTAGCACTATCGATCCACCTCTACTAATAATAAATAGTCAACTGTGAACTCCTCTAAAGTTAAACAGCGCTAATTATTATTAAAGTGAGTGACCTCTTGAGCATTTCAGTATGTAAAAATGAAAACAATTTTTTTTTCTTTCAAACGGTCAGTCTAGTGATTTTAATATCAGCAATAATTTGATTTCTGTGGTTTAGACTTTTTTCATTTTTTTTTTCTAACTGTGATCTTTGTGAAAGTCATTCTCATTGTAATGAAACCATTTCTGTACTTGTAAAATCTATTAGAGCCAATTATTTAGATGCCTCCCCTTCTAAGATTTGGTGAAATGGCACATTACATTATTTTATCAATCTTGTTAGATGTTATGGTCAGGTTAAAGACTTAGAGGCACCACACATTTTTGACAGCTTTTTTTTTTTATGCCTACATGTGCTGTGTAAAACCTGTGAATGTTCAACCTTTCTGTCTATGTATCTAGCTTTATGCATATGAAATTATTTGCCTGTTTATTTATTTGACTGACTGACTGAGCAGGTGCTTATATATATATATATATATATATATATATATATATATATAATGTGTGTGTGTGCACAGCAGGAAGAGGAGTTTTAAAAATCAATGGAAGATGGTGACATGACTGAGAGTTTCTGACCAAAATCAAGAGACATAACATGCCGCCTTTAGTATTCATAGGTATTAGTCATTTTTACTTTTTTTACATTTTATTAAATTTTGAGCCCCAAGCCACTTGCCACCTTTCTGTTATGACTTGCCTTGACTCTTATTTTCCTTGCCCTAAAAAAAAGTCCAAATCATTTCCCCACCCCATTCCCCTTCATCTAAAAGTCTCTTACAGGAGACCATTGTGTATGTCACTATTATTCTGTCATGTTACCATTCCCCATTCCTTGTTTAATTTTATGTTACCACCAAAACTTACAGAAATTTTTTTTTTATAATTTTTGTTTTTTGTTATCTAACCACATTGTTTTCATCAGAAAACATTGCATTTCTTGTTCATGATCATCAATTCAAAACTCACTTATTTATTCCTAATTTATTAGTTATTTATTAATTAAATTATTATTTAATTAAAGTATCTATTCACTTTATAAGGATAAAATTTTCTTTGAATAATAAGTTTCATTAATAAACTTGTAAGATTTGTTTTTTTTTTTTTTTTTTTTTTTTTTAATCTGAGGTGAAAATTGGACAAACTTTGAGTTTCCAATTTTTTCCCCCTGGTTTGAAGTTGAAAACACAAAAATTTTGTTTGGAAAATAAATTTACTTGAGGGGAGGAAGAAAAAATGAATTCATTAAAAATATATAAAAAAAAAAAGCCAAAAAAATAGTTTTTAATTTTTTTTTTTTTTAAAAAGCCAGTACGTCACCTTGATGAAAAAGAAAACTCATGACTTGCATTTATTCCACTCTCCATTTGTTGATTCTGACATTTTCCTGTTTTATGACAAAAAAAAAAAAAAACCTTGTTTACAACAAACATCTGTTATTGAAAAAAAAAAATATTTAAAATGAAAACAATTTCCTCCATTTTTTTTTATTTATTTTTTAACTATCATGGTGTGCCAGTTTGAGATTTGTTTTTAAAATTTACTAACCCTTATTTTGCAGGGAATTTTTTTTTTTTTCTTCTTTCACACCCCACTCCCATCCAGTATCCCATAAAATTATTTTCTGGGTTTTTCTTCAAAATTGTTTTTTCTACTTCACACGAAGAGTGACATTGCAAAAGTTTGGTTGCCTCCATTTTAGCTGTTGACAAAAAAAAAAGTGTTCCTCAGCAAACCTGGGGGAGGCGGAGCATCATCATAAATTTATGAATGTTGAATTGTGGAGTTATTTTCTGAAAAATACATTTAATATTTAGACCAGTAATTCAACAATAATGTTCACATAGAATTGAGTATAAAAATTCAAAACTTGGCATTTTGCAATCACTCTTCATTTTCTTTCTTTTTAATTTCATTCTTCCTCTCTCTCACCAACAACCATTAATTTCTCGTCTTGACCATTTCTTAACCACCCCACCCACCCCCCACCTGCCGCCACTCCTTTGGTTTGATGAGCACATGTCCAGGCCACTGCTAATCAAACATGATGAAGTGGTCAAGCTGCCAAACTGTTTGTCATTTGCTTTCTAGCTTGACACAAAATTCTTTTTAAAAAACAAAATCACAAAAAATACAAAAAAAAATGGGATTGTTGTTGATTAAACATTTAAAAAAAAGTTTTTTTGTTTTTGTTTTGTTTTTCTTTCTGTTTACTTCTATTTTGTTAATTTTTTTTCATTTCATATGGACAAATATCTTTTTTAAAACTTTTGACATTATCTTCATTGAGGTTATAAAAAACAAAAACTTTGCATTAAGAGCAGAAAAAAAAACTTGCAAACACAACAAACCAGTCCTTTTCAAATTCATTAGTCAAGGGGTGAGTTGAAGTTACCTGAGCTCAAAATGTGGCCTCATGCACACACGCTCCATCCCATCTGCTCTGATTCTGTGTAGATGGTTTCTAGGTGTATTTATCAAATTGTCATTCTTTCTACTCTCTCTTTCTCTAAGGAGACTGTCAAATCAGATTGTTCTGCAAGCCATTCTGGAGTTTCTTTTCACAGAAATGAAAAGAAAAAACTATAAGTAGATATGTTCAATACTTTTTTGTACCTCTGCCTTTTAATAGGAATTTTCACATAACATTTCTGCAAAATTGAAGCTCAAATGAACCTTCTTTTTTCTTCACCTCATTCCTCTCTCCAACTTTTGAAATATAAGAACAGTGGCTTTATTTCTTAGCCATGCTCATCTCTTATCAAAAAGTAAATCAATTACACGCTGTCATAAAAGACTATGAATCCAACAAATAGAAGAGCAAATTGTTCAGCAGTTTTTTGGGCCGGGGGAACACCTTTATATTTGAACATTTTCACAAGATTTTGACTTTAAATTAGTCTTTATTATTATTATTATTTGAGCAATCTTTTAGAATATTTCAGATAGGGGAGACTCATTTACTGTGGTTCTGAAAGGAGTGCAAGCTTTCCAAGTTAATTAAAAACATCCCACTTTCTTTACAAAATGCACAATTTTTTATGATGATTCAAAACATCATGAATCAAAAATAATTCTCTTTTCAAAGATCATTTTCGCCTGACTCAAAAACAAACATTCTGCTTTTATTTAGATTTGTTTTCTACAACCTTAAAAAAAGGATTTTTATTTCTACTTCAAGAGTTTTTAAGAAAGATTTTTTTAAAAATGACAAATCTAAAAATTACTTTTTGTTTTTCTTCCATTTTTCAATTCATTTTTTTCTTTTTTCTTTTTAATTTTTGTTTCCAGCTAGAGCCTATTTCTCCAGTTTTCTTTTGCTACTATCACAGTAGGTCCATGAAATACACATCCCTTTCTTAAGAATTCAGCTCTTTTGAATCTAAATACAACAATTCTCTATTCCTGTTACCTGAGAGTATTTATATATGTAATGACTATATAAATGTGTTCTTTGAATGGCAGAAATTGATTTTAGGATCTGAAACTGATGACTGATCTGTGAAAAACTCAGTCTATTTGTATGTTTGTCTGCATATGACAGGCTGCAGCAGTCAATAAACAAGGTTTCAGTCAATCTTAGTAAACAAATATACTGTTTTACATAATTTGACAAAGCTGTTTATTTGTGTGTGTGTCATTTACCTTAAAAATGAAAACCAGCTTTAATCTTGTTTTAAAATAACTTTCAGAATTTTTGGTCAATTTTACTGACAAATTTTATCAGTTCATTTAAGTCACCATTTCAACTCCAAATTGACAATTACTATTGAAAATCAAGATATAAGTTACGTTAATATTCATTTAGAATATCTTGTGTTTTGCTTCAACTCGGATATTTATCATTTGATTCATGGAAGGGCGAATTTGAATTTTAGACGTATCAACATTTCTAAATTAAAATTGACAACAAAAAACTTGTAAGAAAATATTTGAAAAATTTCTCACCTTTGTTGTCAAAGGATATTTTCTATAAGATTTTTATCAATTCTTTTATAACTCGCATATTTTTTTCAAACTATTTAACATTTTGAAGTTTACCATTCTTCCCAAATTAAATTCTTACATTCTAAGAATATTGATCCAATTTTGAATTTATCAGAATAGATTAAAACAATGTCAACTAATTTTACTGATCTGTAATTGTAATGTGCCAATCTCTACAAATAATGAACTATCTCTCTCATTATCAAAAGCTAAAGACTTTTTAATTTTCTTCTATTTTAAACTGTTTTATATATATATATATATATATATATATATATATATATATATATAATTCACTTTTTAAGAAATAATTGTAGACAACATGCAGGAAAACACACCTCGTTTGTGTTGTTACTGTTTTCCTGAGAGAACTGTTTCAAATATAAAATGCATGACTGGATGCAACTGGCAATAGCTTTCCAAATCCTTTAATTCATAAAGGATTTGGAAGATCCTTTTGATTTTGACTTATCCTCCACTTTCACCCTCTCCACAAACAGACTTTCTTCATTATTTTTGGAGTAGTATTATTATCTTAATTTTAGTTTATTTTCATTGTAGCCTACCCAGAGACCATCAATTTACGGTCATCTGTAGACTAGAGATTAAGCTCTTTTTTTTTTTTCTTCTAGAAGTTATTCTTAACATAACAGCTGCTATGCCGATCGAGATACAAGAATACTTATGGCTGAAAGATTTACCCTTTATTTCCCAATCACTCTAATATTTGTCATTGTTTTTATATACATTAATAATAATCTTATGATTTTCGTTTTTTTTCTTTTAAGAGGGATTCTTGACTCATATTAATTTTTTGACAAATATTTCTTTAATTTAGTTGGTTATGATAAAATAAATACTTGTGAAAAATGAATAATGGTTGAAAATGCTTTGTTTAAAAAAAAAGAAAAGAAAATCCTGATATCACTCAACCAATTGCTGCTTTCTTCAACGAACATTTATATCACTGAAGTCCTTTGTTGCCAAAAAGCTCTGTTTTCTTTACCTTTTTAAAGAGTTTAATCAGCATTTCTTCCCAGTTAATGGTTGCAGCAGAAAGACATATAGTGACTGCAAAACAGGAAACAAATGGCTTTTAAAAAGCTGTTAAAAAAAGTGGAGTATTGAAAAACTTGGAAAAGAAAGAGAAAGATTAAATAAAATGAATCTTTATATCAGAAATCTTGGTTTCAATTTCTTGAAATCTAAAAAGATTCTTGACAAAAAATTTTAAATGACACTGGTTCATTAAGAGAGAAATTTTTGCTAATGTATCATAAATCAGAGTTTAAGGATTTTTTCTTTTTCCCTGAAAAAAGTAAACTGTTTTTAATTAATATTTCTTGATAAATCTTGTTCCCATCCCTTCAAGTGAAAAAGAAAATTGGTGGCCTCTTGAATGGTTGATTTGTGAATGAAAAAAATAGTGAGGGAAGTAGAATTTTGTAGGATCTAAAATAATCAGGAATATTTTCAAGTTTCTTTCATGATTCCAGTGCCTTGAAAAAAGGGCTCATAATTATTTTTATTAAAAAAAAAAATGTTTCCTTGTTTTTGTATAATGAAAAAAAAAAAAACACTGAATGCATTGCAATTTTCATCATTGGATCTGAATTGAGAAAAACTCTTATAAGCAGAAGACAAATGTTGACCACAAAAAATGCCAACAAATGATAGGCCTTTTGCATCAGCTCTAAAATTTCATTTTTTTTTTTTTTTTAACTTTGAAAATCACATCTCTCTGCCTTCCCCTCTCATAACCTTTTATCTTTCTCTCAGAATCTTGTAAGATCTATATGGTAGTTTCTCTCCAAATTCTACAGCCTGGAATATTAGTAATTCACAAAGTGGGACATGCAAACCAATTCAAAATGTATCAATTTCTTAAGAATCTATCTTTTACACTCTCTTTCTCTTTTACACTTTCACACACACTTGCCCCTCTCTTTCTCACCTAAACATAGGTAAGGATTTATTTTTCTCCCCAATACAATCCTGATTCTCACTGAACCAAAAAATGGAATATCTAACTCTGTCCAACTGACTCTGTTCTGGACATTCTTCTGTTGTATATAATGAGGTTTCTATTCAAATTAGTTGAGTGAGATTTTAGAACTTATGCAATTTTTTCACTTTTGCCCAACCAGTTTTTTATACCCTGAAATTAATCTATTGTTTCTCTCTCTCTTCTCTTTAATATGTGTATATGTATATCTGACAAGGAATTTCTAGTGATTTTTGCAGAGCCCAGAGATTTTTTTTCTATTTCTGAAAATTTTATAATGTTTGGGTTTATCATGCTAGCTTACTCCCCCTCTATCCTGCTCTGTGGAGCATTTTTTTTTTCTTGCTATTTTTTGTCATCATCCTGATGTCACTTTTTTTTAGGTGGCATGAAACCCATTACCCTTGTTGAGTCTTAATAGACAATAAAAGTTATCTTTACCTGACATTATACAAATTCCTGAACATTTTATGAATTGGAAATACTAAAAGTTGCAATCTTTAACCATGCAACCTGCCAATGAAGATTTTTCTCTTTTAAAAAATTAAAAATGATGATGGGTTAGCATTACTGTATTCTCTGCAGGAGAACTAAATATATTGCTGATGTTAGAAGTTTTAAAATCAGACATAAGTGGCTTGTTCGTGCTTCCAACATAATTGGACAAGCTTTTTATTCTTCTTTTAATTCCAAGGAGGCATCTCGATTTAAAAAAAAAAAAAAAAATGAAAGGTCTTTTTGTATTTGAATTTCAAACTCTGGTAATATAACATGTTTTTGTGCAACTATGAAGTCCTCTATGTTTAATGAATTCTACCTATATCACTCTCATATATCTATCATATATATATATATATATATATATATATATATATATATATATATATGTATATATTCCTATAACAATACCCATGATGTACATTTTTGCTGTATCTTTGAATGTCTAACCCTATCTCAAACTGTAGATGGCCAACACATCTTCGTTTTAAAGATATTAAAGTCAAAGTAAGTTGTAATATTTATTGACAAACAAGTCAAATATTTATATCCCATCATCGTTGTCATGTTGTACTGCTCAGCTGAAATTTAAAGACTAAAA